AGGCACACGAGTAGCTTGCCAGGCTCTGTCGTGCGGGCTAGGATAGACCTCCAGGTAGTTAGCCACGCTATCCTGGAGCGGAACAAGGGGCTTATTTCTTGGAGGCGGCCCCGAATCGCCTCCCATGTACTTCCCAGTCACTTGAATGCAAGCTTTTGGCTGTGCCGACATGCAGGATACCAACCGCACACACACAGAGCGCACCACACACGCAAGCATGCATGGATGCGCCTGAGTGGAGACAGCTGGTATGAATCACTTCCCCTGATCAACCTGCGTCTCATTGCAAGTACATGGTGGCTTTTGGCTCGTGATTCAACCCCCATCCGCACGGCGGGTCGCGCCCAGTAGCCTTCGTCACCAACACGGCTAGAGATTCTTTCCAAACCCATACGCGCTCAGACCTCACACAAAAACCACAAAACAGCACCACACAAATGCTGAAAATCCACAGCATGCGCACAATAACACACAACCATAGTCGAGAGAGCAGACTAAGTGAAGCAGTCTTGGGAGAAGAAAGAATACTTATGTTATGTAAATTTAATATTCATGTTTCAAATTTCAACAGTAGAGAAGATGCTCCCCGGTCAACACCAGATGACCTGCAATGAACACACAGCTGGCAGAGATTACAAGACTTCTGCCATCCAAAAGGTAAACGTGTAGACTGAGAAGCGTACTCTGTGTGGTACTTAAACCTAGTAAGCTTTTCAAAGGAAGTAAAGGAAGAAGAGGTGCTGCCATAGTCTTCTGCTTTTTTCATGACTTCGTTTTCTGCTCTATTTGTTGGTAGGGCTCATTAATAATGATTTTCTTTGCCTTTTTCTACTTTATCTACTTTTAAATATTTTAAACGGTTTTTATGGTGGAGGGTGGGGTTGCGGCGCTTCTTTTAGTGAATAGTTTTCGGGGAGGATCAAACGAGCTTTTCGTATTTCGGCTTGTAAGGAATGTCGTTTCATGGACTTCGGCCTCTGGGGGAGGGGAGGGGTCGTATTTAAAATTTTCCTCGACGCCTCGCATGACTCCACCGACTGCCTCTACCTAAAGCAAGCAGCAAGTGACTTGAAAAGAACACAATACAACTCTGTGCAGAATGCAAGAAAGTAGAACAGACATATATTTTTCAACAAGTATATTTGCGAACTGAATTCCATTTCATGGACAGCCTCTGACAATGGGTTTTCTTTCATCTTTCAGACGTTCGTTGTTATTCCTACACTCTCCTCCTTTTCTCGCGCTCAACTTTCTTACTGATATAAAGCGGCTATGTCCATGATGCGTTTCAGCGAAATTCGAAGCACGCCGTCGCAGAGGTGGCAGACATTTGTTTGGGTACATGTAAATTGGATTGTGACAGGCAAATCTTCGAGGAGCAGGACCAAGACTGACAATAAGGTACAGGGTGGCGAAAAATTACGTGCGCCATAAAAAACGTCCTAACTTCATTTTTGGTCCATAAAAATTCGAAGGAAATTAATTTTATAAAACAGCAAACTCTAACATTCAATAATTATAAAAAAGTATCGAAGTGGCCGCTGTCAGTTTTGATATAGATCTGAATTAGTTTCGACATCGAGTCGATGGTGCGGCGGAGCTGGAGAGTCGTCTGGTTTGACGAAAAATTCTCCCATTAAGCAGCTAAAAACTCCTAAATCACCATCAACTTTTTTGCTCAACTCTTGGGAACATTTGTAATTGGAAAATACCTGCAAGAATTCCGTTCGCTGAAAGTTTGATGATTTGGAGCAGTATCAGTGCTTTGGGCAACCCTCCATTGATTTTTATCGATAAAATCATGGAAATCAATGCGAAGATATATCATGAAGAGGTTTCAAGAAAGCTCTGGTGCTCTGGAAGCAGAGTCACAACAATGTTGTCTTTCTTTGTCTATGAACAAAAAATAAAGTCAGGATATTTTTTTGTGGCGCACGTAATTTTTCGCCACCCTGTAAATACTGGCTGGTAATGGCTGATGAGGGGCGCTGTAGTGCAAATTTAACGGGATTTGGAAGACGCCTTTCGGCAGCGGTGATTCGTTGGATAACATTATGTGAATGTAGGACGAAAACATCTCTTGAGAGGAACAGTAAGTGATAGTAGTCACTAATGGTAAGGGCTGGCAATAACCATATGCGTACGAATTTAGAGATCATTGAAAACCTTTTAGATGGAAAGTTGATCTCCCTTCGATACTCCACAGAGTTTCAAAGAATATGGCAGATGATTGAAGAAATACTATAATGAGTTCAGGGCATTTCAATTTCATCATTCATAGCATCAAATACTATTCGATCGCAAATTTCATGACATCCTACGTGTGGTGGTTGTTTACAGATACCACATCAGCCCTGAACTCCACCACGCAAGCATCAAACAGTGAGCTTTAGCAAAAACCTGTAGAGCAACCTATAGAGTGTGCAGCTAACGCGAATTGGATTACTGCTTGACGCTTTAACGGTAGGCCCTAATGGCTTCATTGGCCATTGGCCGAAACTTAACGTGTCATGTGTGCGGAACTGCATAGTACTCTATGAACACTTATTCGAACGTTTCTGTATACTACTACTTTACAGTATGTTCCGCATTGATTTTGTGTACTCCCACGTGTTTCCTTTTGCAGTTCCATCGGCGTTTCGTAAATCACATCTGCAAAAAAGAGTAACCTTCGGTGCCTCTATGGGACTATTTATCCCAACGTATCCTTGACTGATTGCCGATAGGGGGGCTCTGTAATTCGTTGGGATAAATTGTCCCATAGATGCACCGAAGACTACTCTTTTTCGGAGATGTGATTCACGAAACGCCGATGGAACTGTAAAAGTATGTCTCCCGCAAATGACTTACCCATGCAACCCATAATAGAAAACAGCCCTCTTCATATTTTGATAATTTGCGAGCGGTTGCTATGGAAGCCTGTGGTACATCCCAGATAAAGGAGCAAAGCCCTCAGAAAAACCAATTGGATGGTAGGTTAGTTTATCAGGAAAAAAAATTGTTGGGTCCAAATATTCTGCTGTTAGCTCAGATGGCGGCGATGGTGGCGCTTGCAATTCGACACTCGTTACAGCTCCTGTCAGTGCACCATTCTCTGTTACCTGATAACACAGTTACCATCATGTCCGCTCTTCTTCCCACTACCCCCCCCCCCCACTTTTTTGAATTTTTAAAAATGGAATGAAGTTATGAATTCCAGGAACACACACACAAACGCTTAGCGGGTTATATATGACCAGTTCCGCTCCGCCCGCTATCGCGCGCACCACAGCAGGCAGCCTTCAGCGATTAGTGTGGCCATGAATATCAATCAGCATGAGGCTCTCTCCATTCGAGAATGAGTACTCATATTGAACTGTAGTAGACCTTTCATTTTCGCTGAAGTCATCGAAATAGACGTGATAACGTCTGCGACGCCTAACAACTCATATGATCTTCACATTGTAACATCCAGCATTCTTCTTGAATTCAGATAATTTAGCGGTGAATAGGATTGCTGTCAGTCTCAAAATGAAAATGAAATATGCCTATTTACATAAGTGAGGAGCTAAGGCTTATCATTTATTTACATTCACCATTATTTAGAACCCCGAAAGGATTAGCGGTTTAATGAGTTTGGGCTTTCTTGATATTGCATTAGAAATGAAACTTATCATTTGCTGAAGACTTGATTGAGTTTATGCAATCGACTGCTAAGTAAGCTGGTCATACAATGATACAATGTGCACGTACCACTACAAATAGAATTTGTAAGTAGGGACGCTCTAGTGTCAGCGCTGCGTAACGGAATCGACGACTTTTGCGTTCTGACGCGCCTTATCAGCCCTTATCAATCGTTATCAGTTTCTGGCACCCACCAACAATGTCCCCGTCCCACCCCACATAACACTTGTAAGTATGGTTGCTCTGGTGTCAACGCGAGCCAGGTAACGGAATCGACGACTTTTGCGTTCTGACGCCCCTTATCAGCCCTTATCAGTTGCAATCACTTTCAATCACCCACCAACAATGTCCCGTCCCACCCCACATAACACCTGTGAGCATGGTTGCTCTGGTGTCAATGCGAGCCAGGTAACGGAATCGACGACTTTTGCGTTCTGACGCGCCTTATCAGCCCTTATCAGTTGTCACTTTCTATCACCCACCAACAATGTCCCCGTCCCACCCCACATAACACTTGTAAGTATGGTTGCTCTGGTGTCAACGCGAGCCAGGCAACGGAATCGACGACTTTTGCGTTCTAAGCGTTTTATCAGCCCTTATCAGTTGCTATCGCTTCCATTCATGTACCACCAATGTCCCGGGACCACCCCACATAACACTTGTAAGTATAGACGCTCTAGTACCAATATGAACGACAAAACGAAATTGGCGATGCTCGCTTTCTAGCCCCTCTTATCAGCTATTATCAGTCGTTATCAGTTCCTATCACATACCACTTGTGTCCCCATCCCACCCCCTATAACATATGTAAGAACCATGGCGCTATCATTGCTGTGACCCGAGCTACGAATTTCGTGACAAACACACACACACACACAGACATACTTAGCGAATTTATATTCTATGCTGGCCCTGACTCCTTTGACGTGCACGAATCTGGCTACAGAAAGAGGTTAGGAGGATCGGGTCTTCTGCAAAACCCTCAGAGTTCGCAACATTCCTTGATTGTAGGGCATAGGATTTGCCGACGAATTGCTCTTTCCGTTAGTAGTATGAATCTAAGCAACTCGTAGAAGACATCCGTTTTTGCAATGTGCACAAGAGCGGGACTGCATCGATTCGAATCGAAAAACCTTGTTCGAAGACATTTGTCACCAGCACGGGAGTGAAAAAATTAAGGAAAACATGCCATGGTGCGAGGGGTTTTTTTTTCGTGTGTATCAGTGAATGCAACTGAAACATCCAGCCACAGACTTCAAAAGAAATTTATAACTGAAAATTCACGAAAAGGTTCGTTCAGTTAATTAGATTTCTTCAACGACTTATTATATATTCACTTTTCTTGCGCCTCATTTTCACCCAAAGAGCCAACGTCGTCAGACACTTTTTCTTTAGATCCCTTTTCTGGCTCATCTTCTTTTTCATCGCTTTCCTTCTGCTCTTCTTTGGAACCCTTCACTTCTTCTTTAGAATCTTTGCTTTCTTCTCTAGCACCCTTTGCTTCACCTATATTTTCTTCAACAGGCTTCGACGGCTCAGGTGATAGTTTATTGAACTTCGTCCCTTCTTTTGATGCCAGTCTTGGTTCATCTGATTTCTTTTCTTTCTCGAATTCCAACTTTTCAGCACTGCCGATAGCCTTCTTCTCCTCACTAACGCCTCTAGAATCATCTTTTGCGTCCTCTTTGCTTCCAGTGACACCCTCCGCACTTGCTTTACTTGTGACAGGCGCCTTGCTGAGAGATTCTGCTGGTGCCTTACTGATACTCGACTTTTTATCATCACTGGCTCCTTCATCTTTCGATGCGCCTTCTTTGCTTCCTGCGACAACCTCTGCACTTGCTTTGCTCGTGAGAGGTGTTTTGCTGAGATCTGCGCCTGGTGTTTTGCCAACTTCCTCGGAAGACAGTTTTTCAGTTGAGCCCTTTTCGACGCTGAAATAAGTGAAATATTTTACCGAGTCCTCAAATCACAAAAGGTCTATTGAAAAACAAATCACTCTTTCACAACTCCGATAGCATCCAGTTTGATGTTCTTGGTTTCCTAAACATGTGCACTTTCTGTTATTTTTACATTATCCTTTTCGCAATCAGATCAGCTTTTTGCTGTTGAGAGACACTAGCTTACATATACAATGTTTTCCTGACAATCCTCATATAAAAAAAGAATATAGAATTCGGTCTAGACAATATTTTGCACCTGGCGCAGGACAGTTCCTTTAATCGGCTGCGAAATTATTTGCTTAGAGGCACAACCCAGGCAAGAGTCTTGTGAACGATTCCCTCCGGTCTGTATCATAGAATCTTAACACATTGACGACATTGAGACGCGGTAACGCGTCTCACTTTGCGCACCTCGTTGGACATTGAGACGCGTTACCGCGTCTCACCCTTATCATCCCTTTTTCTAGGGCATGCGCAGCTTTTTCCCGAATTGTTTGTCTCTCTTCTATGGATTAGAACATAACATTATTGTGAACGACATAGGTCATTGTTTGTTCAAATATGCTCCAGTTTAGAAGAAGTTTTCCAAGCTCACCGAAACCGGCGGCTTGGTTCATTAATAGTTTTCATGCTATTCTCATGAACACGTCAATAAAAAAGGGTAGTGAAAGTAAAATGCAAATCTAAAGAGACAGAAAAATACATGCTTCACTTGGTATAACCACATCAAAAGAGCTTTTGGCATCCACTACAGATAAAATGACTAAAATTTCCTTTTTCATTACCATTACATGTTCTTTAATCGGAACTTCGTCACTATATACTCTATTACCTTCTACGCATTGACTGTTACTGAGATGTTTTTGTACCACTGGTGCTTTAAAAAAAGTTATCAATAAAAATTCACGGATCCGAGGTGCGGCGGTCGCACTCGCAAAATCGGCCCGGTCCCACACGGCCAAAAAAGCCAAAACGCGCGCGGTCGTCAATGTGTTAAAGGCCAGTCACAGGTGTATCCATTCCGACAACGTTTTTCCTTTCAGGCTGTTGTCCGTCCTCTCATCTGTTACTCGCTCGCCTCTCGCTCGCCCATACCTCCTCTCCACACTTAGTCTCTCATTCCCTGAGCACAGCCGATTACGAAGGTGAGCGAGCTCTTAACCAAGCGTTAGTGATGGATTCTTCCCCTTTTTAATTACTCTCGACCCATTTCGCACAAATGCATTCGTATACTTGTGCATGTGTGAAGAACCATACCAATTTGATCGAGGGGCATGCCTTAGTCCCCCGCCTGAAGAAAGCGCCGTGTTCGATACTCCATCTCGAAAGTTCAAAAACGGGATATGATTCGCTAGATAGATGAGTGAATAGAAGAATGCGAATTCATCTATGCAGTATGAAAACTATAACGGAATATGAAAAGTAGTAAAGGTCGGAGTTACGTCCTTACAATTGAAGAACGCTGAGATTTACATGAGCGGCAGAATGTGCAAATCGAACAATAGAAATTGAATAGGAGGTGCTACATAATCAAATAAAGTTTTGATGAATGAATTGATGCGATTTCCATACGTAACGATTTCGGGGTTGAGACGTAAAATGATGCAAGACTTCTGATTCAAATGCTTGGCATCGATTTAGCACTTCATTATATAAACCAGAACTTTGGTGTGTCGGTTTGTCGGTGTGTGTCGTTCTGTCCGTCCGGACCAACCGCTCACAAAACCAGGGAGTACGAAGGGCAACACTTCGTGATGTTGATGTCATGATCATGATAACACCCACAGCGGCTATATAAACACCGATCGAGCACACTCAGTCTCATTCTACATGGTGCTGCCGTGGCAGCCGGATGAGGGGGGAGGGTAGAGGGAAGGGGGAAAGGGAGGCTGGAAGGGAGGGGAGGAGAGAAAGAGGGAGGGAAGGGGGAGAGGAGAAAGGAGAGAACATGGCGCTGTCATGCGCCGGAGAGGAGGGTATAAGGAGGGGGGAGGTGGGGGAGGAGAGACTGAGAGAGAACGACCGTTTTTAAGAGTAAGGTCTATATTCATGTTGACGTATTATTTCTAGGTTGTGATAACACCCACAATGGCTACAAAACACCGAACGAGCACACTCAGCATCATTCGAGAGGAGGAGAAAGGGAGGGAGGTCATGGCGCTGCCATGCGCCGGAGAGAAGGGGTATAAGGAGGTATAACACATTCAATAGTGAGGTGGTTAATGGAGTACGTCATGCTGCTATTCCGTGGTTCCTCCCTACCCTGTGATGCGCGCGATAGCGGGCGGAGCAAACCTGGTAGTTGAATAAACCAGTAGAGATAAGCAATCACAACAGGAAAGCAAAGGTATGAGCATGGTGTACTCTCCATAATTGGTTTGTATTAGGTCGCTGCAATGATAACAGATTTGGCTTCACCCTTTCGGCTGCTTTTGAATGTTTGGAGGTACTTGAGTATCCACTCGAATGGGAGCGTTTGAAGTCCATTCTGTTCCCACTTAAATTTTTCTTTTAAACGGTAATTGCGACATTCGCGAGTGCGCACGTGAATGTTCTATTACATCTCGAGGTGTCGAATTCCGCTCACACGATTATGG